TTTGCAAAAATTAGAATCGTGATTTTGGCGTTTGCCAACATTAGAACTTTCATCGACGTTTGCTTAAAACCGATTTCTAAAATTTAAAAGCCAATAGATGTATTTCGATGTAGATTATCTTTTCTCAGTTTTGTGCGACGATCGGCTGAGCCGTTTCTTTCTAAATAGCAGAAAAGTGAAATTTATTTTGTCCACGTTTTAGCTTTCAATTCTGAATCGATTTTAAAAAATCAAAAACTTTTCAAAAGATTGATTGGGAATGATATTGATTAGTTTTGGGTAAAAATCTACCGAGCCGTTTTCTTGAAATTAACTGTTGAAAATTTTTTTTGCCAATTTTTATGAACCTTTTTTGGCAATAGATATCAAAACGTACTAAAATGTTACGACGATTTGTTTAATGTTAAAAATTCATCAAAATAAGCTACAATAATTAAATGTGTTTGAGAAAATTCTATTCGAAATCGCAATGCTTAGATTTAATTATAAGTGATAACTTTATTTTTGAAATAAACAGTTGAGAATTTAATCTAAACACTAAATTATAAATTCGATTGATTAAGTCAATTCTTGCACATTTCGGAAAGTTCATGAAACTTGCCTTAAGGCTAAATGCCATTTTTTTTGTTAAGTTTCCACGTCAAATTATGTGTCAATAGACCTTCGAAACATACCACTTTCCAAATGCTAAGCATATTACAATGATATCAACTTCGGCACGAAACAACCCTTTAAAAAGAATATTTCCCACTTCACCCTTTCATTCTTGGCAATTTCTCAAAAAATTAGGATTATCTTATAAATATTCCCGAAAAAGTAGATACTTGATAAATAAACCGGAAACATTGTAATAGAATGTGTTAAATATAGAGATCAGACTTAAAATATGCTATTTTTTCAGATTCTTCATCCATTCACCGTGCAATCCAACTATATATTCTGGTCGATGATAGATGGTTTTCTGATGCTAACAATTCTATCTGGCAATACCCTTACAATATTAGCACTACGTCTAAGTCGGCGATTACGAAGTGCAATATCAAACCAGTTCGTACTGAGTTTGGCGGTTTCCGACCTGATTGTAGGTATGACTTTACCTTACCACTTAGCCTTCTATGTCGGAAGCGATCTGGGTAAAGATAAGGCGTGGTGTCTACTCAGATTTGTACTTATCACATTGGGATGTTGCCTATCCATTTGGAATTTGATTGCTATTGCAGTGGACAGATATATCGCTATTGTACATCCGTTACATTATGGAAGGTCAGTTTAGAATGAATTGAATTTAGTAATTAACCCTTTCCACTCGCGAATTCCGAAATTTATATGAATTTTGCCGCCGGAGCGGCGACATCCGAGTGAAAAGGGTTAAATTTTAATTGGTATATTATCACAGAAAATAAGATATTGAATAAGTTTTTGGATGATGACTAATGAATGAATAAACTGTATAAATAACAGTCTATTAGGCGCTTATTTGCCATAAAACGAATTCAAAAATGTTTTGATGAATATAGATGTTTTGATTAATACTATTCGTTTTAAAACAGATTTATAAAACACATCCAGTATTTAGAATATAAATTCTAAACCGATGCTACTACTTATGATTGACTACGAGTAAATACTATGGTTTTATGCTTGTAACCCTGATAGACAAAATATTTCGGGAATGCAATGTTATTTCCAGTGCATTAAATTTGAATACAGTGCAACAGAAATAGTAATATTCAACTATATAAATATTATTATTAATCTATATAAAAAATTAATCTATCATAAGTAAAAAGATTTATTGAACTATATTGAGAAAAAGTATTTTTTGCGTAAAAGTCTGTCTAATTTGCATAAGTCTGAAAGAGGCTCTTTAAAGTCTATTTTGTCTTGATTATTAATAAACGTTCCGAGGTACAAAAATTTTACAAAACATTTTTACAAATCTGAGAACATTCTATAATAATAAGTAAATATATAATTGCCGCAAATCCTTATAATTTATAATAATTCGAATAAGATCAGTTTGGATTAAGAATTATTTTTAGAATTTTTCAATAAAATAATTCTAGAATTTTGTACTAAATTCCTTAAATAATCGTAACATATTCAGAAAGTAAATATTTTCATTAACGCAGTGTACTGTAGAATTAGTCATGTGAAAGAAGTCTCAAAATGATTTGATTATGAATACCGAAATGTTCTCTAAACAAGGGAGATGGATCGATGCGACATAAATTGCATAAATATTGCTGAATGCGACATTCTTTCATTCTGTTGATATATACGTCATGTACATGAATAAGTCTATGACTAACTACTCATTTGATAAAATCATTAGTTGAAATAATATCCGATCATTTTATTTATAATGACGGGGCGTAAAAAATTCATTCATGACGTGCCTTGCATTAAATAATGAAACAAATAAACATAAAATAAATAACATTCTTAAGTTCCGCGTTGAAAATTCTTGGAAAATAAAACAAATATTAGAAGATTACAAATTTGTACTTTTCGACACTAAATGCAAATAACATACTAAATGTATATTATATTGTTATCATACAACAACTCTAAAATAATTACAATTCGTAACAAAGAGTATAGAAAAATAATTATTAATGTTAAAACAATACATTTCAAATCAGGAAAAAATATACAAGATAAAAACATTTGTTTATTAGTGACCACAAATCACAACAAGAAAAAGTTGGAAATTAAAGGAATATTCAATTATTTTAGCAAACCAGAATTCGTTAATAGACAACAATTATAAGTACAAAATGCATGCACGCGAAGAATTTTGTTATATTTATGTAGTTGGACATGAAGGGCCATATTTCGTATAGAAGTTATCTTGGCTTATAATAATTCGATAAAAAATTTATTATGTAATCATTTACAGATACATGACAAAAACCGTGGCCCGATCAATATTGGGCTTAGGGTGGCTGATGGGTCTCATAATATGCTCCATGCCTCTTTATTGGAATAATTGGGCGTCAGCAAGAGCATGTGAACTCGCAGAAGTATTGCCCACTTATTTCATTGCAGGTATATAGAATTCATTACTAATTGTAAGTGTAAGAAAGCAGGTTGTGCGACCATAATATAATCAAATGACTTTTTGTAGGAGTCATAACACCATCGTTTTCCTTAATATGGATGGTGATGTTAGTAGTATATTGGAGAATTTGGAGAGAAGCTGCAGGACATGCTAGGAGATTAAGAGCAACTGCCCATAATGGTACACCATCAGATTGGAAATCAGTTCAGGTGAAATTGTCTCGAATCATTTATATTAAACAAAGGAAATTAATTTCCTGAAGGTTAATTAATATTTATTCAATTTACGATTTGTATTACATTACTAGGTGATTTTAAAAATCAGTAACTACGACTACTTTAAATTTTTAGGTTTATAAAGATAAATAAATTTGTTATTTTAATAATATCTAAAAATAATTAAATTCGAACTTTTGTATTTTTAAATTTAAGTAAATCACTCTTAATTTCTATTTAATAGGGAAATTTTTCGCAGGTGGTACTATTAATCCTAGGTTCTTTTTCCGTATGCTGGTTACCATTTTTCGTGGTTGCGTGTGCCCAAGCGTTCACATGCCACAACGAGTCATCACCTACAGTTTACAAGGCAGCTTTCAGTTTGGCGATATCAAACTCAGGTCTAAATCCTTTAATATATGCTTGGAAGAATTCAAACTTCCGAAGAGCGTTTGCTCAACTCATACGCTGTCGAAATCCAGACTTAGTTGAACAACAAAGACAGCAGCAGAATCAACAGAATATAATTCAAGAACGCAGAATGACGAACGAATCAAGATTACATTCTCTTCAAGACAACGTGTTAGGAAATTGTAAGCAAAATGAGGTTCACAATTCAAGACAAGGTGATGCAACTAGGCAGAACGGATTTCTGCAATCCAGGCAAAATAGTACCACGGATATAGATATAAACGGACAAAGGGAAAAATGCAATGATGCTGAAAGAGACAGTGCTTATGAATCCGTAACTGATAGTTTGAATAACAGAAGTTCAGCCCATAGAGCTCTGGGCGAGCGAGTTCGTTTGCAAATAATGGTGCAAAATAATGCAGGCTTAGATACTGACTTAGAAACTAATTTGACGCAAAGCAGCGGAGATTGCGTGGTTCTAGAAATATGTTCAGTTAATACAGCCTATGAGAATGATAATTCGAATAGTGCAGAAAATGTAACAAATGAAATTGTTTAATATTCGATTAAACAGTTACACAATTAAGGAAATATAAAATCAATTAATAATTGTGATTATGATGTGGATGTTGTTTTATTTGTTGAAATTATTAAATTTTTATGGTATTTTGTATGGTTTCCCGAGGTAAACTACTGGAATTTAGCATATAAATAAATTAATAAATAGAACTAAAGTGAACGACTTAAAATTTGCCATCTGATATTTGCTATCCAACAAAATTCCAAAACAATAATAATGATAGCACTAAAAAGATGGTGAGAGAAGATAGTTTATGATGCATGTACTTTCAAGATGAATCTAATAATTATTATGAATTAATTGAATAAGTATGAAGTGCATATATATTGTGATATTTTAAATTTGTCATGTGATTTCTTTGTAAAAATAGGTGAACTTTAGTATTGCAATAATCTAATGCTAATTGCGAGAAATAATGTCAGATTTTGAATATATTTTAGGAATATTATGTTGTAAAAATATAGAAAGTATTAAGCTGCAGTATTATTCTTGTAAATAAAAGAATGAAGAAACCAACATTGATTCTAATTACTATAGCCCAAATACTAAAATATACTATGACCCTGAGATACATTATAGCTCTCTGTTGTTGCTATTGTTGTTGCATCATAGTTTCAGTGTTATTTTTCATACTTCTCAGATCGTACAACAATTTAAAAATTACAAAAATAATTCTAAAAAGATTCTTTTCATATAATTTCTAATTTAATCCATACACATAAATATATCACTAAGACTGATATGTAAGTTAGTTATAGTTATTTTACTAGAAAATGCCAGTGAAATAATTTTCACTAAGTTTCAGCTAAACTAACCAAATCCATAATTAAAAATTAAATAATCACTTACCTCAATTCCTGTAACCCCAAGTGCTTTTTTCAAGTTTGGTGTCATCCTGAATGGTACTTTTTCAGGAACTCTGAGTGTACGTCCCTTTTCAAAGCAAACATTATAATCAATATGTACTACTTCACCAGTTCCTAATTCTACTAAAATATTATCCAAATGTCTATCACCAAGGCCTATGATATACCTGCAATAAATATATATTCAATCAGACCAAATCAAGAAAAATATAACAAATAAGTACACTTAATAAAATATAATTCCACGCATCCGTATTTTTCAGAATTGAATCAAAATAAAAAACATTTTATTTGTAAAAAATGTAACCAATATATAATTGAATTATATCAATCGTTGATTATACAAATGTAAAAATAAAAAATATGTAGTTATATTAATATCTCATCAAAACTTACCCAATAACACTCATAACAGCTACACTTCTGGCATAACTCAACTGAGCCTGTCTCCATTGCGCAGCACTTTGACTGCAGCACCAAATTTCCTTGCTCAGTAGATCATCAGGTGTGTCTGCACTCAACTCTTTCAAGACTTGCTTCAAAACATCCAATGGCCATTCTTTCCGATTTGCTGTGCTCTTTATACCCTTTTCCCTCAGCAAGGGGTTTAATTTATTGTAGAATAATTCTGTTGGTCTTAGAACTGCAGAAGTTTTATTTTCATTGTTGCCAGTGTTATTTTTTGTTAAATTCAATAATTCGCGTTGCTGCCATCGTTTGTATAAACCAAAAATAGGAGTTACTTCATCCACCCAACTGATTAGACCAGATCTTGTTCCTAAAGGAATTACAGAGTAGTGCCTGGAAAAGAACAATGCATATGTATTACAAATCAAAAATTAAATATAAACTGCACAATTTATTTTGGTGACACACATTATATATATATATATATATATATATATATATATATATATATAGAGAGAAAGAGAGAGAGGTAGGTAGGTAAAACATTAAGTTCATTTTTTTAAGCCAGTCGTTCAATCAATAATTAAATTTAAATTTATATAAACAAATACATAAATTACACCTACCTTGCTCGATATGTTTGGGCAGAATCTTTTCTAGACATCATTGTATTAGCTATTGATAAGAACTGCATGATCCTTTCATCTAAATGTAAATCTTCAACTCCTTTGAATAAATATGTATACTTTTTGCCATTACTACCATAGAATATCAATTTTTTAGGTTTGGTTTTGGTTGGTAGAACAGAAACCATATTCTCAATGGCAACAATGGTCACAGGATTTTTGCTTTGTAATCCAGGCATAGAAATTACAGTGTTCTTCAAATTATATAAAGCCGGACTAATTTCTGACATTTTCAGATTGTATGAAGTTTTCTTGTGAGAACGTTGTTGCAAACTGTTCTGCAAATTTTTAATTGGTGCCCAAAAACCTTGATATGATTTTGAAATATCTACTGGTTGTCTTAAATTCTCCAATATATTTTCAATGGAAGATAAATATCTAAAAATAAAAGAGAGATAATTTAGCTAAAAATTTATTTCACAAACTAATATAAAAGATTGCAATTCATATATTTTCTGAGAATTCGGTAATGTTGAATTAAATTTGATTTAATTTATTAAAAATAAAATCATCAAATAGACTTTGTTACTATTTACTTGCTATCAGTATAATTTTTTAAAAAAAGCTTTAACATTATACCTTTCTTGAAATTGTTCTTCATTTGGTGTTTCCGGAGTCTTTGAAGTAGCATTGTGCAATTGCTCCAAAACAAATAGCAATTGTTTCATAATAATTCTATATTTTTCTGTCACGATTCTTTCTTTTTCTGATTCATCCAAATTTTCATTCTTCTTCAATCTGCTGAGTTCATTCTCTAACTGAGATATACGTCTTGCAAACTCACCATTTAATTGTGCCAATGACATTAACCATAATTCATCCCACAAAAGTGTAATTCTACGTAACTCTGATACCAACAATTGTACTTGCTGAACAGTTTCAGGCGCTTGATTTGATAATGTATCAACCATACTTGCAAAACAAAAGTTCAAGGTTGCATCCTGCTCGACGTCTTCCATTTGTTCAGCAGTGGATATGCAATCATTATCATCTATATCATCATTATAGACTTCAGAACGCATGGATAAATCTGTCACATCTAACTTTTGAACCTAGAAATGTAAGTAAAACTTTATTTGTAATTTGATATATTATTTACATATTTATAAAACATTGAATCTAGATCTGAATTATTAAAAAAAATTCATATTGTTTTGGTGCAGAATGACAATATATGACATTTTTGAATACCTGAGATGCACCTACAACTGCCGGAAATGTAATAAGTTGTGGGGAATCTTCAGCAACTCGACATAACAATTCAGATAGTCTTTTGCGAACATAAGTTTCTGGATGATCCAATCTGGAGAATAATTGAGGTGTGATAGCTTTCCATGGTTTTGTGGGCGTTACTGCTAAACCTGATTCCAACACCCCCTATTAAAAAGTACAGTAGTAACATCCAATCAAAATAATCATTTAGATCAGTAACAGGACACATATCTTAACTATATGTATGATTGAAATTTTACCTGCAATCCCATAGCATGTTTTACTATTAACCGTAAAAGTCTTAAAGTAGCGCTAACAGAAGCACAACTTTGTTCATTATTATTTGCTGCTGATAGTTGGAGATATCTATAAATAAAAAGGCATCACCAAATTGTTATCTATCATAACTAATATATACGGATATATGGGTAGTACTGCCCTAAGGCAGGCCTGTGAGCTGAGTTAAACACCAACTCGATTCCGGGAAAAAGAAGTGTGAGAGTTTTCCCACTATTTATATATATATATATATATATATATATATATATATATATATAAATCATCAATTCTATTTGATTTAATTTAATTAATGCAATTAAAAATTAAACAATTTATAATATTTACCTGAAATAAGCATCAGCAGCTAACTCATAATATCCATACATTCTTTTTTGTGACTGCTTCCAAATATTCACTAACACTAGAATATTTTCCCGTGACATATCACTCAAACAAGGAACATCCATTAATTGAGCTTCGATCATATCACTGGTATTAATAACATTTGTGTCAATGTCTTCTTCATCAACTATGGATCTGGTCTGAGTTAGAATATTTATAATTCTTTCCATTTGCTTTATGTCAATATCAGAAGGCATCACAGATTTAACTTCCGCTTTATCAGAATCAGAAAGACTGGTTGTTCCTAATTCTATCATTTTCCTGCCCCATCTGTAAGACCAATTTCCTAACGCATTCCATGCCTTTGCCAATTCTGGGCATTGCCTTACTGCGCTCTTCAGTAGTTTTCCTACAGCACCATCCAATATAGGAACAACTCGATCATGCAAATTATTGCTTTCAGCCCCTATATCTGGCAAAGCAGTCACTAAACGAGTAAGAGGTGCTGTCAAATCCGTTGTCAAAAGTTTATCTGTTTGCAATTGTATCCACTTAGCCAAAGTAAGTAAAATTCTTGATGATCTTCTTTTAATGTGTGCACATTTTCATTAGTTGAAACAAGCTTTTGACAAATTCCTAATGAAGCTCCTGCAGCTAATTGAATTGCTAATTCTCTATTTCTGATGTAGCATGAAGAAGTTTAGCAGTTTCAGATATGGCCCTGGAATTTTCTATTGTCCATATTTTAGTAGCATCAATTTGAATCGAATTATTGATAATAAAATCTGTAAATTTCCTAAGTTTCCATTCGTAAAAGTAAAGTCATTTGATGATAAGAAATGTTTCTGTAACAGTTTTTTAGAAAGCTTGAAATTTCCTTCTCGTCTTGCTGCAGCAACAGTTTCTAATCTAAGATTTACAACTTCTTCAGTGAAGCTACCATTCAATGAATTAAAAAATTCAGTCCACCATAATACTTTATTCAGAAGCGTTGAGCTGTGCCTGTTATCAAACGGAACAATTTTGAAAACTGATGTATTATTTCGCAAAAGTTCTTGCAAACCATATGACACATTTTGTAGAAGCAAAGCTTGAGTGAGATATTCTGAAGGGGGGTCTCGAATGCTTTCTTGAATACAACCTTCAGCAGTTCTTATAGCATGGAATATACCAGTAGGGCAGTTCACTAATTCTTTATTGGAAGTAATTTTAGTGCAATATTCAAAAGAGTATTTTCAGTTTTAGAAAGTATTTTACTGTAAGAACACTCTGAATGTTTCAATTTATTTTGTTCATTAACTTCTATGCAATCCCAATTCGATAAATGTTCCATGTATGATAAATCATTATCTTCAAAAAGGTATAGTGCAGTAGCTTCTTCAACAGAAAACTGATTAAAGGGTATAACCATTGGATTTTTCATATTACGCTCTTCCCACAAATTCTGTTCAATTTTTTTCCAATTACATAAATCTCTCCAGAACCCTAAATTTCACATAACAACCATTAATACGATCACAGATAAAGCTAATAAGTTGATTATCATAATTTTTGAATTCATCCTCTGATGTTAATTGTAGATATCCTTCTAGTGCATCTTCATATTTTCCATTTGCTTCCTCAGCAACAAATTTCAGCCAGTTCAACTTCTTTCCCACATTTTGTTTGATCCAACTGTATAAACCGAAAATAGCTGCAGCTTCATTAGCAAAAACTAAACTTGTAACAATTTTATTATGACTCTTTCAAATTCGACTTTTTCATAATTACCAGAAAGTGTTATTTCATGTAATAACGCTTCACCTTGCCTAATGCATATTGGCATCGACATACCATGCAGCCCAACAACCATTACTGCACAACGTATCCTAGATAACCATTCCCTACAAGTAGAAGCATTTGTTCGGAAAAAAGTTTTTACAGATTTCTCATGTTGTGGTAATGCCATAGCAGTGCCTTCAACGGCATTATAAATTGCCTTTTCAAGCTGTTCCATAAAACCTAATAAAACCTGATTCGTTTCTGCTCTTCAATCAACTCCATTATATTATCAAAGCTTCTATGAGTTTCATCAATTGTTGTAAATACCCTTGCCAAGATTTTGATAGCACCCTCTATGCTCATGAAAGTATCCTGTGGCTTTCCTAAAGGTGTTCTTAATTTATTAGCAATGCATAATTGAGCAGATTCCCACTGTGACCACAGCACTAGCGGTCGATTATCACATAGAGCAAGGTTTTTAAATAACTTAGCATTGCCTTGTCTTAAAGGCCAGCTCAATTGAAAAATTTCAAGCAGCCATTGATTTTCTTCTATTTTACCATTTAACATATAGTTCATGAAGGTTTTGAAATACAATGGAAGCATTTCGCCACATAAACCACTTTGAAAATTCCATTTCTGTATTGATTTTATCAACTGAGATCGATCTTTTGAAAATGTTTTTGGATTTGGTAGGCAGTCTAAAGTAACTGTGACAGGAAGTAAAAATAATAAAGAAGTATATTTCATTCGAATATCTACGGAGTTATTGCAAATATGCAAAGCACATAAGTCACATAATGATTTATATATGATAATGGGCCATTTTATATCAGGCATTTTAAAAATAGCCATAAGACATGCGTGAACTTTTGAAGTTATGCTGTTATCAATAGATGCACCACATTTTATCAGTTTCTGTAAGAGTCCCACAAAATCTTCATTCATGATTAAAGTAGAAACAAAGTTCTCAGAGTGAATAAAAAATTCTCGACTCCAATCCAATATTAATTCTAAAGTTTCATTTGGTAATGATGTTTCTAAAGCTTTAGACAAAATATTCATGATTATACTATAATGACCAGATGTGGGACTTGTTTCATCTTCAATCATTGTTATACCTAACATATTATAAGCATTGGCGCGTTTCTGACTGCATATTGTTAAATGGCTGGAGCCAACAAAATTGTTATTTTTCTTACTATGCGCATGAAGTAAATATAATATTGAATATTGTACAGAATGATGCTCATACCATGTCTCGTGGAATGGCTGCGCTTTTAGAGCTAATAAGTCCAAGATACTAGGCTGCAATGCCCACATTGCTATGATAGAATTGCTAGCATTAGCTAATTCTGATAAACATCTCAAATAAAAAAGAATTATTAGTTTTGATTCATATACTGTGTAAACTTTCTTACTTTGGTTATCATTTATTAAACTGATAGCACCATTTGTAATAATTTTAAATGCCATATATAGATCATCCAGCATATATTTATATGCCTTTGTAGTAAAGGGATATTTCTTAATGCCAATATGTTTTGATACACATGCACAATAGCATTTTGTATTTTTGTTGGTTGAGCCAAGCGTAAAGATAGTATTACAGAATCATATCCCAGAATAACATCAATTAAAGCAACAGGCAAACTAGCCGACACTTCTTTTATAGTTTGAGAAATCATAGCCAAAAGTGACATAATTGTTGCCACATCGAATTCTGAACATAAAGACAACTCTGATTTAATAAGTTCACATATTCCTTCAACAGAGCTTGACAGCACTTTAGATCTCAAAGAAGACAATAATAAATGCAGACTTTCATTGGCACATTGTATAAATTCAAGATTGATTTGTACTCTGACCACCTGATCAATAGTTTTCAAAAATTTTGTAAACATTCTGTTAAAAATTGAAAAGCCTTTAATGCTCCAGATAGACTTTTCATAACAGTATTGAATACCTCAAATAATCCAGATATGCGTTTAATACAATCAGAGGGTGTTGAAGGAGCATCTTGAACAGGTGTATTACGTCCACTTGAAGGCTGGGATAACTCATCTCCATATGCAACTATATCTTCAACAAATTGACCAAGTATGTATTCAGAAAAGCTAATATCTGATTTCCAAAAAAGATGTAATTTTTGTAATGTATTGGCCGCACAATCTTTAATATCTTTAGTTTGTTCTATATCTAAATGCCAGCCAACTAAAATATCTACCATGTCAACAAATAATGGACCTAAAGATTCAGGATATGTTTTTGATAAAAGAATAATAACTTCCACCGTTGCTGTAAATATTGAAGATGAATGCGTGTTTTCCAATAAATTTTGTAAATGCTCCATAGTTTGACA